AACCGTTTTCTCTTTGTTGTCTGTTACACAACACCATTGTGAACCCCACCACATACAATGTCATTGTTCAAAATTTAAATAAAATGTATCTGTATCCACTTTATCCTCTCGTGTCCGTTTGATTTGTGGCAGGCTGTGAATTTGATACCTGGCTGGGCCTTAAGTGTGGACTTAATGCTTTTAATGCCACCATCAATACATCACATTTATAGAAACCTAGATACAATTGATAGTCTACGATGCAAAATCAACAGCATGTGACTGACATGTGGCCAAACAAATAATAAATATACATTTTTTTAAAATCAATTCTAATTTGAAATTAACTTTAAAAATTACTATTACTAATATATTTAAAGTGACATTGCTGATTCTGAAAGCCTTGGGCACAATAGATTGAAATGGCAGCATACTGAAATATGGTTGGACAAAAAAATAATATAACAACCACATGCACTAGCCTGTTGGAAGCACTACCGCCATGGGAAATCCTTTAAAGAAAATAAATAGAGGGATTAAATATAATAATTTCGGATGGAATTGAAAGTCAGTGCTTTTGCGAGTGGTTGTTAGGCGATCATAAATGTCCAGGCTCCGACGGTTCACTTCGTGCGTGTGGCAGACAGGCAGAAGATGGTGTTCCGCTTGTGTGTTGGCACCTTTATGTAATCTGTTAATCTGCGGAAAGTGGTGTCCTTGTTTTTTCTCCCTGAAGCACAACCTTAATCCACCTTCAAATCTGTATCAAAACAACCACAGTACCATTTTAAAACGGCTTTGAATATACATAATGGAAGTGCGATTGTGCAATAATGTTAGAAGTAACAAGGAGACGAATAACTCTTTTACTGTGCAATAGTGGAGTGATTATCTGCCCCTATTTATTTTAATTTCAATATTTGGAATTATTATACGAAAGAAAAAAAAACACTTCTTATTCAGTCTTCTGGTCGCGATTTCAAATTTTGTGTGATGTTATTTCGTAAACAAGCTCTGCGCTAATGCGGTTTAATCAGGTTTAGACCACGTGACCACGCCGGTGTTCGTCATTGAACACACTCGCCGGTTCGTCTTCATCCCGCCTGAGGCCAAAACACTTGACGAAGGTAAGTGCTGAAAAGCAAACAAAAATCCAAACTCGTGTTTAAAAAGGCGACTTTGAAAAACGAACCCGAGTTTAAAACCTTATTTTTAAGCACTAACCCTAGTTTAAAACCCTACTTTGAAACCCAAACTCAAGTTAAAAACCTTAATTTGAAATTCCAAAACCAGTTTAAAAAAAAAAACGAAATTTAAACCCTAACCCTGATTTAAAACTCTACGTTGAAACCCTAGCCCAAGTTTAAAACCCTATTTTGAAATTCAAATTAAAACCGTACGTTGTAACCCTTAGTTAGTTTAAAACCCTAACCCTAGTTTAAAACTCTACTTTGAAACATTGACCTTGCACACACAAGAATGTCCCCATATTTGTGTTTTTCCACCAACACAGTTCCGACCAAAATTCCAGTTTTTGGAGGGAGCCGATGAGCACTCTGGAAGATATCCCATTTGGAACGCCACTGGGGTCACTGGGGCAGGATGTGTGCTTGATGACGCCTCCTGACATCTCTGTGCCCGACTGTCTTCGGATAATGCAGGAAACTCAGGTCACGTCTCGCTCCCGTGCGCAGCCGAGCCATTTTACATTCGCAATAATCGCCTCAAATAGAATAGTGCTCACATTTGATTGACAACTGCATAGAGTTATTTTAGTGTCACTGACCAAGAGACTATATGCACGCGCGCCGCGCACACACACACACACACACACACACACACACACACACACACACACACACACACACACAGAAGGTAAAACTGGTATCACTTTAAAAACTGTATCCCTCCTTTTGCTTTGTGGTGATGATGTTTCAACGTTTTCCTTGTGCAGTACTGCTTCAATCTGGAGAAGCTAATATTAACAGGCCAGCATCCCGCAGACCAGGCTCCATCCTGTCCTCCCTACTGGCTGATGATCTGCAGCCCTCATGAGCGCCGCGGGGCCCCTCACGGGCCCAACGACCCTTGGACCTCCTCCAAACCTCGTCGCCGCAGTCGCAGCTTGAACTCGTCGGACGTCCACTGGTCACACCAACGCTCGCACGGCTTCCACAGATCCGACTCGGGTGAAGAAGACGGCTACTGCGAGGACAACGAAGGCTCGTCCCCTGAAGACAGTTCTCAGGAGCACACCACCGGTCGAGAGCGGCCCCGCAGCACCGCCCCCTCCAGGGTCAAAGACGTGCACCTCGGTCTTCCCGCTCTGTGGCGCCGGGCCGAGTTGTCACCGAATAGTCACAGAGGTGCCTCGGCATCTGCTGAGCGCAGCGGCACCATGAAGAGGCAGCGTGCACAGAGTGCTATGGGCAGATTGCACCCCCAAAACAATTCATCAGCCGGGGCGCATCCTGGAAGGCTGCAGCAGCAACGACCCTCCTCCGCTGGCCCCGTCATCAAAAACCGCAGGCAAAAGGTGGGCTTCTTTTACCCTCCCTCCGAAAATTGCTCTTACCTGAAGACGTGGCAAAGGTACGGATGTGGCTCACATAGAAGTACTGATTCAACTCCTGGACAGAGGTGAATGTATTACCGTATTGGCCTGATTATAAGATGACCCCCTCTTTTTCAAGACTCGAGTTTGGAAAAAGAACACCAAATTAATTTTTATACAGAAAATAATTACAGTACATCTGAAACAAATGATTATAACAATATATTTGAGAGAAAAAGCATGTTATTTTGCCTCATTCAAATCTAAAGTGCAATCACATTCGTAAATGAATGGCTTCTGGTTTTTGAAATGTAAATTACATCATAACGTCTCCTGCCAGTTAACCTGGCCGATCTTCGACCCACTTTTCTCCAGATTGTCACTACGTTTCTCCATTTTCTGAGATCTATTATTTTTTTCTCTTTTCCTTCTTACCGCTATTTTTTATTTTTCTTCTTTGTGCTACCGCTATTTTTATCTTTATTCTTCGTGGCAGGGGTTCACTTTGGCCTGGGGAGTCAAGTTCAGCATTCGCTTCATTGATATCTGGCGCCATCTAGCGTCGTGAATGGGTATAATGTCTAGACCCCGAATATAAGACGACCCCCACTTTTTCAGTCTTATTTCAATGCAAAAACCACCGTCTTATATTCAGTCCAATACGGTAATCGTACAGACTCTCAACTGTACTTAAGTCATAAAAGTAAGCACAAAAGATCCCACATACTTCAGCACCACTCGGCGTCCAATGTGTGCACGTGCCTGCTTGTGTAAGTATTTGTTCATCTTCATGTGGATGCTCATCAGGCCTTCAGGACCGGAGGTTTCCTTGATTCAGCCACGGAGCTCCTGTCCGCTCTCAGCCAAGAAGAGAGGGAGTTGCTGGAGGCCGTCACTGACAACGGGTACCCGTTACGTACGGCGATCTTGGCTCTGCAGAAGACCGGATACAACACTCCAGACAAGGTCGAATATATCATATACCCTGCAATTTTGAAAAAAATAAAAACTAACAAATCTGCTTTAAAAACGAATTAAAATGAAGTGCATTTTCAAAACAAAAAGTCAAAATGAAATCAAAATAAGGAAAATGCCAAAAGTAATCTAACCTTGCTCAACAGTGTCCACTTGACACGGAAAGACTGCGTCTTTGTATTCATAGATATGCATTGAATCTGTGTGTTGCATATTGTATGTAAATACCAATTCATCACTTCATACTTTTTTATTTTTGTTCTTGAAAATGACTCTCTTTTGTAAATTAGAACAAATAATAGAGGACAAAGTAGAGGAAAACAGGAAAATATTCTGCCAGTAATTGCTCTCTTTGTTGCTGTGTTAGGGGACCAAAAAATAACTCTTATAAATTATGTTTTCGAAAATAATTGGCCGGTTAATCAACTATCAATGCTTTCCTGACAAATATCGTAATTGGCATTGGCCTTAAAAAAAAAAAAAAATCCGTATCAATTGGGCCCTGCTTCTGTTATGTCTACTCCATTCACAGCCCCGAATTAAACACAAATCACTCTTTTAACAGCTCTTAAAATACCTGACAGCCTGCAATCATCTGTGCGAGTTGGGCTACGATGAAGCTCAAGTGGAGGAGGCCTTGGAGATGTTCCAGAATTGTGAGAGCAAGGTGCTTCCCTCTTGGGTTTTTATCCCTTCAATGAACACAAAACCAGAATGATCCGACAGTCACGGTTGCGATTCCGATTTCAGGCTGCCGAGTTCCTGCTCCTCCTGACTCAGTTCAACGAGATGGGCTTCCAACAAAGCGCAATCAAAGAAGTGCTGCTTGTTCATGAAAATCATCGGGAAAGGGCTCTTGAAGAACTCATGACCCGCATGACTTGAACGGAAAACGTAGGCAACTGGCGTCGGACTGATGGTTTGATTTGGCTTTGAATTTGTCTTTACATTGAAATAATTTTGATTTTTTTTTTTTTTTGGGGGGGGGGGCAAATCCCTGGTTAATGTCAAATGAAAAAAACTCCCTTGACTTTTGATTCCAAAACTATTCAGCCATCTGTAGTGTATGTACATACTGATGTGCAATGAGGTGATTTTAAATTTAGTGTAATGTATGTTTCAGTCATAACTATGATGTGACCTGTGATTAAAAAAATAAAAAATAAAAAAATAAAAAAGTTTGACGCTTCTGATGTAGAAAAGTATCACATCTGAGATGACCAGATTTGAAACCTCTGATGCTACAAAAAAACAAACATAATAAACAGTAAGACTTCTGTTTAAACATTTATTTACAGATAGATTTGAAAAAGGTGAAGTGACAGAAAAAGGGAAATGCATAAAAAAAGGACACTAAAAAGCCAATAAATGTGCACACACACATTGACCTGCCACAAAAATACACACCGCCGCCCCAGAAGTGACAATGAAATAAGCCTGAGTAAAAATGAAGAATCCAAATGTTTGTACATTTGGAAAGCATTTAACATTTTTGGGTTGGGGGGAAAAAAATGCATTCGAAAAGTTTCTCCACACAAACAGCAGAGCTGGAAGACTTTGGTCACTGTTGACTGACAGTCGAGTTGAGCAGTCCGGACTTCACATTCGATTTGGAAGCCTTTGACAGGTCCCGCTGAGACAAAAGAGCAAAGTTCATTCAGTTCTTGCAGAGAGGAGCATGCATGAAATGTTTTTCTTACAACACTGTGATGTCCTATTCAGAATAAGTTGGTAGAAATGAGTTGGTGCTTTTTGGGAACGTTTGGATTCATTTGAATATCAATGAAGTATTATTTAATGCCACAACCAGAAGGACAACGTATGAAGAAAACAACGACTGACAATTCACTAGTTTGCTTGTTGAGTGTTACTTTGACACTTACTTCAGCAGTACTTTGAAGTAGGGCTGGATGATTAATCGAAATTTAAACCGTGGTTTTGATGTGGAATGCTGCCGATCTTTAAAAATATTCGGGGGCGGGGGGGATTGTAATGCGCAGAACCGCTCGGTGTGTTTACAAGTTGCCAGTGTTGCTTGCTAGCAAGGTTGTAGCATGTAACGCTGCTACCCTTGAGCGTGATTACACCGATTAACGACACCATAGTCGGAGTTGACTGTAAAACTAAACAACAGAAATAATTGCCCATATTGTGTATTTAGATACAAAACATGCTTTCTTTTTAAAATATCGCGAGCGCTAATGCTAAGGTCAATTCAATTGCCAACGGGAAATTAGCATCGACTATGGGAGTGATATTCCTTCAAATAAAGAATATTCACACACAAACTCAGTGGAAACACACACCCGTAAAGTAACACTAATCATAGGTGGAAATACTCCTCAATCTGTGTGTGTGTGTGTGTGTGTGTGTGTGTGTGGGGGGGGGGGCGACGACGACGACGACAAACAAACAAACAAAAAAACCCAATTCAATCGCAACACTGTTCTCATTACGCGTATACTCCATCCGTGAGCGGCACAATACTGCCCCCAAGAGGCCAACAGGCGCACGAACAGCCGATATCTCAGGTCGAGCTCAGTAAGTCCCAGGACTCGTGGAAATAACGCAAGATAAAATAATCACGATAAAGAGATAAGTTCATGCTTATTCAAGACTTCAGCGAATGCAAAGATGCAAGGCATCAAAAGGTGCGGATGTAGCAGAATGGAAATGCAAGAGGCTTGAATTTCACATGAAATTGACACGGTCATTTTTATACTGGACAAAAAGAATTGAGTAATTGAAGTATGCAATGTTTCGAAACCAATTCATTGTTTAAATAATCGTGATTTAAATCTCATTCAAAATAATTGCTATAATTATTTTGTCCATTATCGTCCAGCCCTACTATGAAACATAACTTGATGGGAAATAGTGTTTTTTTCCATTTAGGGTCACAGCGTTGCCACCATATAACAGGTGTCGGTTACGTGCAAAACCAACGTGTTAAACTGCATTTACCGCAAATTCCGAATAGGAGCCAGCGACGGCATTAAAGGTGCAATCTTGAGTATCCTGAGACCTGAGTGCACCACATGGAGTATTTCGGTGAAGGTTTTCCTTGTTGCGCTCAAGTGCGCGGGTGACCTTTGAGTGCCCGGGGGTTCGCAGGCCAAGACCCTAAAAGTTGAAAGGACTGTTGTACACAAACACAGCGCAGAACTTGTGTCACGTGACAGCAAACCGCAATGAAGCGTACCTTACTGGCAGACAGAGGTGGCCTCTGTATGGAAGACTGGCACATAGTTCCCCCAAAGCCTGAACCGAGGAAGCTGACTGGCGTGGAGATGGTCGACGTTCCCATCTGCAGAAAACATAATTTTTTTTTTTTTTTTTTTTTTTTTTTTTTTTGGGGTTCCACTTAACCGCAATCATTCATGCCAGAAATACAAAGTGACCTTTCTTTGTTTGCCTGGTGTGCCGTTTCCGACGATGCGCCTTTTGGATGGCGTCCTCACAGCAGTTCCGTACAACATGTCCTCCTGAGTCTGTCTGCTCTTCTTCAGTTGCTGAAAAAATAAATTACAAAAATTAAACAAACAACAAAACGTTTGGTTCAAGCTTTCGCATACCCGTTCCATTTTCTCTTTCTCCTTCTCGCTGTGGTGCTGCTCCCACTGCTGCTGCACATAATCCAGAAACTTCTGTCCATTGACAAAGAACTCTTTGCCTTGCTCTTGCTCCCAAGAATCTATTTGGGCCTTCAGAGTCTTTTCAAGCTGGCGACAGAAAACAGTCAGAAATACTTGATGCCAACCTTCTTACAAAACATGTAAATCGAGGCTGTCAAACTCATTACTCTGTTGCAAGAGGTAAAGTCACCCACGGTTGAGATCTTGTGGTCTCATAAGGGGGAAAAAAATCATCCTTAGGGCTGGACTTAAGTACATTTCAGTCTGTACTCGTTTAACTTTTGCAGGAGTTGAATCAGTTCCGCTACTTTGCCCCAAGCATCTGTACTTGTTCTAATTTTACACAGTACCTTGGGCAAACTTTTCTGCAGGTCACTTCGCTGCTTCTCCTCCTTCAAAAGGTTCCCACCTCTGTTGTTGAACCTGGACATATCATTAGCTTTCCTCTGAAATGATAAATGACGTCCATGTGAACAACCATCACCCAAAAGATGTCGACAGTCCTTCCAACTATGTGATGTACTGACTTCTAGTTCCAAATACACGGCCCAGTTCTCCTGCCATTTTGCGACGCCTTCAAACAGTTCTTTGTGGTCTTCAAAGTAGCTCTTCAAAGTGTTGACTTCTGCCTCGTGCAGGTTGAGAAGCTCCTCGGTGAAGTCCTCTGCATACAAAAACACACACTGACAATTGCTCCACCCACTGTAAACTATTAGGCACACAAAAGGAATGGCACCTCTCTTTTTGATTGACACAGCACACCGATTATCGTGGTTGTAGCTTCAATTGCACTGACAGACACTTGGAGGTGTTTCCTAGTACAGTACTTTGGCACTCATATTAAAAAGGGACACTTGGAGGGCCTGAACATTGGCACTGAAATAATAGGATAGTATATAATATGTGTCAGCACTACAATTCACCTCCCCATCCCCCCCCAAAAAAAAGAATCAGAAGTGATACAACAGGAAAAATGTGCATTTTGAATTTGGGTAGAGACCGGGCATAGATTTCAGACATTTAGCAACGCTAAAGTTTTGCTCGACTCCACGAAGGCAGGGAGGCAACCATGGAGATTAGCTCGTGCTTGCTCCCGTGGCTAACATGCAGCTTGGCGGCTAAACAGACCAGCTTTGCTGAACGAGATCAGCTTCTTAACCAGCCAGACACGGGGCTCCGTGTCACAGACGGACCCCGTCCAGGCGGCCGAGATGGTCCATGCACGCTGTTAGTAAGGCAGCCAGGAGCACAAGTTTCAAAGAACATGACCAGTTAAGTGTTTGGGGATCAGAGTTTATGGTAGATTTACAGTTTCATATAGGCAATTATAAGACTTTTTTTTGGGAGGGCGACAGCAGCAGTTCGCATTTTCCCCATTATCCGCGGCAGTGCTTTGAAAAGTGTACAGATGGAACGCGTGACCCAGCTATGCACTTGACATGACATCGTCCATGTGTGCCTATTATTGTGGCCTATAAGCGTGCATGCATAGCGACTCCATCTCTCCCCATATCTTTTATCTCTATCTGCATATCTACGTGTCTATTGTATAGTTGCAGGAAAGATTACGTCACCAAAGGAAATCTAGTTACCGTCATGATAATGAAGAAAAGCCTGGCGCTGTTCTTGACTGTAGAAGCACGTTTCCCAGTAAAGCAAGATCTCATTCCTGACGGCCTCGATGACACTTTTCATACTCTGTAGTTTGAGCAGTTCAAGACGCTGGACCTCAGCCTGGAGCTAGAGCCAATGAATACAAGCATTAATATATTGTATATATGACACATTGCCGCAGGGCGAAATTTTTTTTAATGGATTACGATTTCTTACTGCCTCAATGTTGCTCTTCTTGGACTTGATCATGTGCTCGGACAAGTTCTCTCTCTCCTGCAGGGGGATCTGCAGCCTGTCCCACAGTTCCCGAGCTTTAGTGCGAAGCGCTGTGCACAGCACAACATTCTCCGCCTTGCGCTCTCGCAGCTGGTACAGGTTACAGTCACCGGTGTTATGATGTAAGACATTGATGGGGTAATTTATCCAGATCGAACGAAACACAGCCAAGTCACCTGGCCAAGGAGTTGTTTCAGCGCGCCGATGTTGTCGGTGGAGAGACAGAAGGCCTCCTCGTTCTCGTACATCACGTCCTTTTCAAAGGCAGTCTCAGCCTGACGCTCCAGATCATCCATGCATGCAATTATCTCCTTCTTGACACTCACAAATTCTTCGTGACGACGGTCCTGAAAACAAAAGCCCAGTAAAAAAAAGTGCAAGCAAACCATTAATTGAAAAAAAACAAAAAAACAAATAGACACCTTTTCCTCGGTGAGGGCATTAACATGGGCACGGTAGTCATCTAGTTGCTTCAGGGATGGAACTGACTCGCGGTCGATGCTGAAGGGGGTGGTGCACATGATGTCACATAGTTCGCGGTCTTTGCCAACAAGACTCTTGAGGTTGTCCATTCTCTGCCTCTTCTGCTCTTTCATCTGCTCCAGACGAGTGCGGTTGTTCTTCTCCAGCTGCAACATAGTGCAGCCCTCTTCCTCCTCCACACACACCCACAAACAGAACATTAATACTAGGGTTCAACTGATAACTATCAGTCGGCTGAATTTAAAGTCAGATATAAGCTCTCTCCAAAATAATCACAAACTGATGGAGTTTTGCTGTTGAAATGTTGAAACATGAAAGAGCAAATGCTGTTTTGTTGCTCTGTGCCCACTAGATGGAGCTCTGGCTCAGTTGAATCTAATATGCATGTGGTGATTGCGAGGAAACATTGATATGTTTTGAAATCCATCAATCATAATGTACCTCAAAGGGGGGCATCTGAAGTTCACTGCACAGTAGATGAAGTTCTTTGCGGTAGGATTCAATGTTTTTCATGACTCGCTTTTTGAGCTCCTCTTCTTCGACTATCATTAAGTCCAGCATACCCTGCAGTGCACACGAAAATCCAGACATAGCAGACAAAGAGACAGAGTCAGTCAGCCATCAACTACCGAGAGAAACTGTTAAGCACTTATTGCAGTGATTTTACTTTGATGTGCCTGTGAACCACATTAGTTCTCTGGAGGCGTTGATCCTCTGAAATTCCCATTTCTTCCCATATATCCCGTAACTTGCCCAGAGCTCTGTTGAGGTAGGCAACAGACTCCGCAGCATGGACTTCACTGCAAGACAAGTAGACAAACAGAGTGTTTCTCATGCAAGTGGCAAGTTGCTTCTAATCGCCATTTCCTTTGAATGTTTTATTTTAACTCTGCGTTTTGTCATTTGCTGGTTTGTTTTATATTTTAACTGATCCTGCTTATATGTTGACATTTTTTGACGGTTATTTCTTTGACGGTTATTTCTCTGTCCCCGTGAAGCACTCTGGATTTGTCTTCTGTATGAATTATTCATCTTTGGTCTTCTCTTTATGTCAATGGCGAATAGTGACAGGCAGAACAATTAAATGCCCTTCTGCACTGGATGACAGAAGATAAAACTAAAACCTGTTGCCGGTCATACAACAGAATAATAGAGCGATGTTCGACTAAACAGGGTCAGATGTACCGAGTAAATCGAGACAAGCTCATCGTAAACTAATGTATTTATTATTTTTTGTGACACTTTTGTTTGGTAGTGTGCCGTTAGATTTTTCGAGTGTCGAATACGTGCTTTGGCTCACTAAAGGTTGCGAACAAAGCGCTACTACACGGCGAAGCTAACACAATTACAATTAGCTATTGACGCGATGTTGACGATGCGGTAGACGAGCTGTAATAAGAATTTTGATTCAAAATCACGAGCAGAAACAGCATTAACGAGGGCCCATTAGCGACATTGGCTCAAGGGTAGCCCAATACGGTCGTCAAATAAAAAGGCCCAACTCTCTACATTTGCTACGACAGCACTTGAACTGATTACAGATGAGATACCTACCTCACTCTCATGTTACCAAAGCAGACTATTCCCAAAAACTAACGTCCACACCGTGTAATTCCGTGTCAAAGCGCAGCACTTTTCGTAAGTGCGGCTACTGGGCACCGTCTCCTTTTGGCTACCAGCTCGTTTATCGATTCCAGTTGACGTTTGAAATTTGCCACGACATGACGCGTGCACTCTGATTGGCTCAGAGCGTTGACGTCATTCCAAAAAACTTCCGCCCTCAGTTCACGTGTTACATGTTTAAATGTTTGAGTAAGAATGTCATCTTTATTTTGTTTATTTTAAATATATCAGGATGTAGGGAAGAAATTTCATCTGTGCTGTATGTTACACATACGTACAGCACATTCGACAATAAAGTTGTATTCAATTCAATTCAATGTTTTACCATACATGTAATTATGGAATTGAACTAAATATCTTATTGTGTGTGTGTGTGTGTGTGTGTGTGTGTGTGTGTGTGTGTGCACTCTTGACTGCAATGCACATTGATGAGTAGCTTCCGGTTTGTTTGCTGATATGTGGCCTGTAAATAGCTGGCGACAAATTCAGGGTGTACCCACAGTCAGCTGGGAAAAGCTCCAGCTCCACCGTGACCCTCATGAGAAAAACAATGCTGGAGAAAATTAATGGATAGTTATATAATAATGATTGCAATCCATTTTAATATATTTTGTTTTCAAAGGCATCTTCACTCAAACTTTATTTGCAGGGAACACCAGCTCACCATATGACCCCATTGATGTATGAATGTTAAAAACTTTATTGATTGAAGCCACAAAACTCATGTATTTACATTATTTGTCCCCTGGCGTCAAATGATGAAATTAAACGATTTGGAAAATGTAGCAAATGTCGCACAGGAAGCAAATAAATAGTAATGCAATTGCAAACCGCACAATACCTCATGGAGAGTACAAAACAAAGTATTTTCTTCATTAGTTACAGTACTGTTGTGAATAGAGGTTCCTCAGAATTTCTTCACTGAACTGGTAAGTCAGCTTCTTTTTCACCTTTTGAATCTCACCGGTTTTACCATAGTTCCTCAGAGCACGAGCCATTTTTTGGTAGGTCATTTTTTTGCGATTTCCTTTTTGGACTCCCCAGTGACTGGCCAGGGCTTCTTTGTGTTTAGTGGAGAACTGGAAAATGCCCTTTTCCTGGTCCACCCACCAGATGGAATCACTCATGTCGCCGCTTCTCAACAAGTCCAAGAGAAATTGATACAAGCGGATTTTCCTCTTGGCATCTACGGTACAATGATGGATTAATTATTAATACTATGACACACATTTAGGAACTATTGAATTTCTTTTGTTTAAAGTCAAGTCACATTTTTCTAGACAAAAAATTCTATGTGCCCTCATTAGGCTAAACACGATATTCTGATTAATATTCCATCGAAGGATGCTGATATTTTATGCAGTACCGTCCCCTGCTGGCGGCTGAAATTGACAGTATTGTGAGCATTATGTGACCAACCCCAGATAACAGGTGAGCCGGTGAAAAATTTTGAATATGATCCTTACTTGTGTCTTTCTTGATTGAGGGCAGGTTGTGGTATTCAGACGCGTCCTCACTTTCTGATACCTCAAGTGGGGGGCTGACACCTCTTTGTTCCTCTTCGGAATAGTACTGGACAGACGAGACTGGGCTTTGGTACTGATAGTACAGTGAAGAGGTGTAGTTTGGAATCTTCAAGACAAAATGTAAACATGTAGGTTCATACAAAGAAGTATAGGCCGGTTGTGAGTTTGTTTAGTCATGCAAAAAGAGGATGTAAGTAAATGACATGTCATTTGGTGTTTTTCCTTGACACAAATGTCAGTTTGAAACAATTGACAATTTTTTTGATGCCCATCAGGCTAGCGCAACATTCCTGGAAAAGATTTCACTCAATCAGCAATCTCTGTGAGACCTTTTTTTTCCTTTAGTCAAACTTTTTTATTTGTAGCAAAGCGTAGTGTGAGTGCTTTCAGCTTATCAAGATTTCATAGGGTAAATGCATCATGTGAGAGTAAAAATAGCAGCAATATCATGTTGACGCAGTGGTCTGTCATCAAGTACACTCACCCACACTGCATGAATCACATCTTGAACTAAGCTAATAGTAAAAATTCAGTGATTAAAAAAAAAAATATATATATATATATTCTCTTTGTAGAGTCCGAACACCAGGCAATCCAATGGCCCTGGAATCAGTGTTTTTATTAGGCCTCAACCGATATATATTTTTACTAGCCTTGTTGGACTGCCATTATCTTTGTGTGATGTTGTAATGTGTAAAAAAAAAAAAAAAAAAAAAAAAGCAAAAGAAAAAGACCCCCCCCGATTTTTGCCGATTTTAATCGTTAACACCAAACGTTTAAATCGACCGTCCAATTAATTGGGCCGTAGTTTTTAATTGTTATTCTCTATCGAGTTTTTTGGGGACTACGCATGCCTGAAAACTCAAATATATTACCAAGTGTGTGTCCTACAGAATAAGCTGTGGCCTTCTAAAAGTCAGCTTTTTTCACTGATTATGTAAAAAAATAAATGTTGCGAAACCCGCTTGATGGAGGATACTGAACTAAACTGCAAAGCCTTTTGGCCAACACAATCTAATCTCGGAAAAGGTAAAATCTCCAGCTCACATCCATGCAGATCCTGGACCTTTATAATAATAATAATTTTGAAAAAAACAACAACAACCAAAACAATGGCACCTACAGTCTAATGACAATTAAAAAAAAAAAGGCCTCACTTGTGGCAGCACCGAGAGAGGTGCCTCCAGGTGAAGATGACCATCAGCGCTGTAACAGTAAGGTTGAATTTGTGCTGGAGCCAGACACTGAAGCTCTGTTAAATGACTCGACGGAAAATGGTCAAAGTCTGCAGGCTGGATATGCTCTGAGTGGTAGCTCCATCTGTAGTCTAAGAATCAGCACACATTTGGCTCGGAGCCATGCGACGATCGTCTCAAATCATCGTCTTACCTTCATAAACGTCCCCCACGTTAGTGAGGTAAGGGTACAACTCCGCCGGAGCTCGATAACTCTCTGACTCACTTTGAATAATTTCCTCAGAGGCCTTTGGTGAGAGGAAGTATGCAATTGTGCAAAAAAATCTTCATTAGATTGATCGTAGATAGAAAGTAGTTTCATCAGTGCTGCAATGACCAAACATACAGTATGTGCCTGCCATGTGGTGACCTCTGCTTACACTACATGTGTTACAAACTGTGTAAATACAGCAGTTTTGCTCGTACTGTATGATATGTGAATTTCACATCCATTCCGAAGCCTTGAAAAGTGTTATTTCAAATATACAGACAAAACGTATAACACAGCAATGTAAAGTTTAAAAAAAGCTGTCTCTGAAGCCTGAATGGAACCGAACCTACCTACCTATATCATGTATAATATAACATTCTCAAGTCTTACATACAAAAAAAAAGACAAAGTCCTCGTGCGCTGCAAAGGCAATGAACAGCTGAAATAGCTGTTTCCCGCACGTGTGTGGACAGAGAACGACAAAAGAATAAACACTTACAGGTGGTATGACAAAGCCTTCCATTGTGTATCATTTGACTATTGAAGCAGATCATAAATGATAACTTTGTCTTCTGCTGCCTCCGTGACAATGTGACAAGCACACAGTAACTTGAGCAGACAAACAGGAACTGAGAGTGACCTCACATGCCCACGGTCTCAACAGCCAATTGTCTAATTCAAATGTCCACCTCTGCTTCCCCACCGACAGCTAATTTAGCAACATATCTCAAGTATTTACATGTATGTCCACTTCATCATGATTCATATTTCAGTATCTCTCTCTCTCTCTCTTCTATTAACACCAAAAAAAGTACGAAATAGATTTATTATTTGTGTACTGGTAGACAATGAAACTAAAAGCGAAGTTTGGAATTAGGTTTGTTCCTCTTTTAGTTTGGAATTATGGTTTTAGTTGAGGAAGTTTTGAACATGAGAATGAAACTCGCTGAAAAGGTTGCGTCGGTTGTATTTTCCATTATATCAACACATTCAGTGGAGGATCAAGTCTTCACTTTGACTTTAATGTCTGTATCTGTGGCCATTTTTAAATGTATCTGTTTACTCTTGACTTTCACTCGGTACTGCTTTTGTACACTGGACACTGATACATGTGCCTCTTAGCTCATAGCAAATGATGCAGTTAGCTTTGCTCACCCTTAGTCTTCTTTCTTGGACGCATATGCTCAGCCAGTTATTGAATCCACACACCTGGTATGGTATCAAGAGATTGGGTGAAAACCCATTCCAGTCCAAAATACGAAAACTAGAACTGGCTGATGTGGAGTGATGGTTTTAGGCGCTGGAGCCTCAACAGGTCACGCTTTGTGCTGTGTTTGAATCTATGGCGAGTCGTTTCTTCTTGTGTGGAGTTTACGCTGTAGATGTTCTCCCTGCGCTCACGTGCCTTCCCTCCCGATACATTTCAAAAACATTTGCACAGATCTTAGCTTCCTCGTGACCATGAACAGAATAAGTGTGGGGATGATGGATGGATGGTCCTTGAAAAATGAAGGATTGCTCTACTGTCATTATCCAAAACTACTCATCCATAGCCTGAAGTCAATCTCACTTTATATCGGCAGGGAGCAACCTGGATTGATTGCCTGTCAATCACACAACTGACACTAAAAGACAGACAACCGTTCACAGTCTTCCATCATTCTAACGTGTTTAGTTTTGTGTGTGTGTGTGTGTGTGTGTGTGTGTGTGTGTGTGTGTGTGTGTGTGTGTGTGTGTGTGTGTGTGTGTGTGGAGGGGGGCGGGGGGAGCTTTCTGTATATAAAATATCCATTCATAGTCTCTCATTCAACGTAACAGAAATGACAGGAAAACAGACATGTTCAAAACTATACATCATTCTATCACTTTCTACATGTACAAAACCAAACGTTTGTTCCACTCTGTTGTCGGATTGAATTGAAACAAAACAACAATAAAAATAAAAGCAACTTGTTTTTGTTTTGGGGGCCTACCATTGGAGGTTGCATTCATGATGGATGGTCATTCTGTTTATCTGTTCAAAAATAACTTTAACAAATTATGATTATTATTTCACAATGTTGGCATACTCTCATTTTTAAGAAAGTTGAGCATTTTGGATTTACTGTTTTTGGACTGCTCATGAGCTGATTGGTTCACACAAGGGAACAGACTGACGAGAACACGTGGAAACAAAATCTAAGAAGCAAAACGTAAAAAAGGCACACGGGAAACAAGACATAATATGAAACAAAAATAATGTAATCTAAACAACAAAAATAGATCATGACAACAGAACTATTCTGTAAATTTTAAACACACATTTTAACCTTACCTGGCCTGTGTGTCCATTGAAAAAAAATAATCAAACGTTGCCCTTGAGCAAAATTGTGTCATTAAGTATCTAATCCAGCCATTGTAAAACAAGTGTTGCGGCACAAGTGCCGTTATGATCCATTTCCACCAAAGTGGTCCAGACGTTCTCATTTATTTTGTGTTTCTCTGTTCATCTAACTATGCCAACAAAGAAGGGAAAGTGACGGAAATTATAATGACTGTAAATGCTGTTCCACTCATCGGCCAATTACCTCTGTATCTTTGTGATGAACTAAAACGGCCTTTATTCCACACTGCAAGAACTGTCCACCGAAACAAGATCATTATGCCGGCACACAACATATTTTTGTAACTTTATTTTCTGTTTTTGAATGTAAAATACGTTCCTTGTCTTTTGTTCATGAAAAGAAACACAGACCAAATCTACTGTACTGTCGTCTATTTGTGAGAGTGCCAATATTTTGTTTTTGGCGCCATCGAGTGGTGTATTCTTGTATGTATTTACTGTATTTTTTGCAGTGACCAATCCAGTCTCCGGGCTAGAAAGAGCTTGACTGGCTGAAGCAGACAACCAAAACATCGCATCCGGGCCTCAACGTCTCCATCCTCAATGCGGCGATGCTCGCTGCCAACCTGACCAGGACTCCCTGAGGAGGCCCCCCTGTCTCGCGGAGGGGATTTCTCAACACGGCAGCCGCATGGAAGGAACATGGCTGCGATGAGGACTTTAACCGCGGCGGGTCTCGTCCTAGCCTTGTGCGCCCTCGGCCTCATCGCCGTGGCCATCGGCACCGACAACTGGTACGAGACAGACGCCAGGAGACACCGCGAGCGCTGCAAGAATTACTCGAACAAGAGGACCGACCCGGGCTACATCTACATCTCAAACAACAACCTCCCGCTGCGCATGCTTCCCAAGGCGAGCGCCGAGTCGGAGGCGAGGATGCCGAGGCTGCGGAATCGGCGGCACCTTGCGCCTCCAGCCTCCGCGATGGAGTCGCTGTGCAATCGGCATTTCAATTCCACCGTCATCGGACTGTGGAGGAAGTGTCACCGGATGGGATTTGACCTGGAGACGGAGGATTTAATCTTTAAAGGTATGCTGCTGTAGTCATATTTGTGTATGTGCGTGTGCGCGAGCGTATCAAATGCGTATAAACGTCTTGCGCAATCCAATATAAATTGCAGGTCCACATGAAATAACAACAACGCGCATTCACATAAGCCTTGGCGTGTTTAACAATACGCTTCTCCATCTTGCTGTGGGTGGCTCATCCACCGTCGATGGATGGGTGGGTGATGAAAGTTTTTTTAGGAACGGGGGGAGGGGGTACATCCTCCTCGTATCTTGTCAAGGATGTTACGTGACACCCCCCTCTCTCTTTTGTGTGGTTTGCTTCCACAGGATTGGTTGCACGTTGCACGCCAATCAAATACTACTACTCTTCATCAGCATTGCCCAGAAACGTGCCAATCAACCTGACCAAGACGATCAGGCAGGATGAGTGGCATGCGCTACGTGAGTCTTTTGTTTTTCATAAACGTGCTGGAAAATAAACCAGCAGCAGCAGCAACAGCAACAACAACAGTCAATAGCGGCGCTCGATCTTCTATTGCAGATCTCCAGAGGATGACGGTGAGTTTTATCGGCATGGCCATATCCATTATCCTGTTTGGCTGGACCATTGGCGTGCTGGGCTGTTGGAAGGCACATGACCTCATGCAGTATGTTGCCGGACTGCTCTTCCTCATGGGAGGTAAGCGTAGTACCCTAAATGACCTCATGAGGGAAGTAAACTCAAAGGGATCCAAGCACTGGCCTCCCCACAAAAACAAAAACAAAAACAGCCATCGAGTGCGTTTTTACGTTAGAAAAATCTCACAGCATCCCACACAAATAATTGTCATAAAAAAATTAATTTGTAGTGTCTGACCGAGCCTAATAGCTGAAACTGATTTGCTTAAGCCTTTTTCAGGATGAAAATAGCTCAACGGGGCAAGATATTATTATTATTATTATTATTATTGGAACCCCAGACTGCGAGGCAGTAATTCAAACCACTAGTTCATAGACAGAAAAATAGATAACAATTATATTACCTATACAGCACAGGAGTATTGAACAGAGGTATTGGAAATGACATTATTAATATGAACATAAAGTGACTAACATTTAATATTTGGTGACCCACTGACTTCACCAAACTGTTACTTTCTTCATTTGAAATGCTTTTTCCTGGCCTTTAGTGCAGCCTCCTTCAGAGGCTTTTCACCACAGAGTCTCCTCTTCAGGAGGTGAAATGCATGCTCTGATGCCGGTGATTAACTTGGACAGTCCTTTTTTCCCCTGAAGTCCTTTGTTGTGTTGGCAGTGTGTTTTGGGTCATTTTGTTGCTGCATGATGAAGCTTCTCCTGGTTAGTTTGGATGCACTGTATTTTTCTTTAAATTGCCAGACAAAATGGTTTTGTAGATTTCAGAATTCATGAGTTACATCATCATTAAAGACTAGTGAGCCCATTCCAGAAGCAGCCATCCATGCCCAAGCCATGACATTGCCCCCACCATGCCTAAAGGATGAGCTTGTGTGTTTTGGATCACAAGCAGCGTTTCCTCATACTTTGGCCTTTCTATCAATTTTGTAGAGGTTCATCTTGGTTTCATCAGCCCATAAAGCTTTGTTCCAAAACCGTTGTGGCTCATCTCTCTCATTCGTTGCAAAATTCAATCTGGCCTTCCAATTTGTTCTGGTGGTAACCGATAAGTGGATTGCATCTTGTGGTTAGGCCTGTATATTTCTTCTCTCGAAGTGGATTGTGATACCTTCATACCTGCCGGGCGGAGGTGAGCAATGATGTCACTGACTGTTGTCTTTAGGTGTTTCTTCACAGCTCTCACAATGTTTCTGTCATCAATTGCTGGTGATACCCTTGGACAACCTGTATGATGTCTGTTGCTCAGTACATCACTAGTTTCTTTCTTTTCCAGGACATTCCAAGTTGTTGTATTGGCTCTGCCCAGTGCTTGTGCTATAGCTCTAAGTAACTTTCCCTCTTCACTCAGCTTCAAAATGGTTTGCTTTTCGCCCATAGAAAGTATGGTCTTCGTATTTGTTTACATTAGACGCTCAACAGCCCAAAATTTCCTGCATGTTGACAACCTACCAGTTGCTAACAAACATTGGCTCATGAATTAAATGTTAGCACAACAGATAACTTTAGCCTGAAGCTAGCTAGTAGCTAATTTGTGCCAGCTAGCTGTTAGGTGGAAAACTTTAAGCTTACTATTAAA